CATAAAGCATGCTTAAGTAAATTTAAAAGAATCAAACTTATCCTGGGCATATTATGAGGTCATAGTATAATGGCATTAGAAATAAAAGGCAAAATAAACCACAGAAATTAAGACAAATTCATTAAATTAAATAATACCCTTTTGAATAAGCAATGAGCCCTAGAAGAAATCAAGGGAGGAAATTAGACAGTGTTTAGAATCAAATTCTAGTGCTAGTACAACACATCAGAAGTTCTGGGACACAATGAATGCAGTCCTAAGAGGGAGGCTTGAAGTGGCAAAAGCTCACACCAGAAAAATGAAGTGAGTCCAAATACAAGGCTTTTTTTCTCTTGAGTGGATCAGGGTGGCTTTCTGTCATATAGTTAGATATCTAGAGAATAAAGGTTTACCACTCAAGGCTGCCTTCATCATGGGCAGTGCTTCTACTCACCCATGAGATTTGGAAGAACTGGCTGAAGAATTCCCATGGCTCTCAGGTGAGACCACCTAATACAACTCCTCTACTGCAGCCTGTGGTCCAGCAAGTTATAACTAACTTTAAAAAGCTATATTACCAAGAAAGTGTTCCTGAACTGCTTTCAGATGGTCTTAGATACAGATTCAGCCCATAAGGAGTTCTGAGAGGAACATTACCACATCCTTTTCTGTATGGGATTGAGAAATCCTGGACCAATGTCTCTCTAAGGACACTGAGATCTGCCTGAAAGGAAGTGTGGCCTCAGGTTAGACAGGAGAGAAACTCTGAAGGCTTTGTGGAGGAACCTGAACCCTCGATGACCCTGTGGTTGATGACTCTTGCTATAGCAGAGTCCATAGGCTTGCAGGGAGATAGTGGTGGTGTTGAGGAACTGGTGGATGAACACTCAGAGGAATTGTCTACAGAGGAACTTCAGCAACTTCTGGCTGAGCAACAGAGAATCGTAGCTGAGGGGATTTCTGAAGAATAGAAGGGTTATCAACAATCAGAAAGTAAAGTTCATCCCTGAAATTAGAAAAATCCTGAAAAAAAATGGACAAAGCTATGAGCATTTGTAGAGAAGATCCAGCCAGAGAAGAGATAAATTGTTACATTCACTTGCTTAATGGCAATGCCATGGCATACTACAGACCAGTGTCAAAGAAAAGACAAAAACAGACACCTTAGACCAGTTCTGAAAAAGCTGAGACCTAGTGATCCAGAACAAGATCCTAGAGGGCTATAGAACATCTAAAGGAGAGAAAGGACACCAGAGAACCAGATTCCTGATGTTCGTGTGGAAGGGTATTGCATACTGATCAGACCTACAACCTCCCAAAGGAGTGGGTTGAAGGGCTTTTAAATAAAAGAGACAAGTGGTATCATTTTAGAGCTCCAGGAAGATCAAAACCCTCTAGCAGAATTCAAGATTTTCTGGGGACTGAGACAAAGAGCTTTTCTAGGTGACCTATATTTATTTGGTTTTCTTAAGAAGGAAGGGAATACTGAGGAAAGTGCAGGAAACTGAACAGGACCCTGGGAATCCGTAAAAATACTTCCTCCAGTAGTAAATTTTGCTAATTAGGAGAAACATCCTGTCTCCAGGTTGAAGTTCACTTCAGGAATGAAATGCCTGCATCTCTATCAGGTTAACTGGGATTAGAGCAGGTGTCCTCAACTGTGACCTTGTCCTTTGTGATGTCATAGGATCACAGGTCTGATTTTTTTTTCTTTATAAGTTCTAGATACCTTTTCTTGAGGGACAGTCAGCTAAATTTTTTTTTCCCAATTAATGGGTTTTATTTTTATTCTCTTGGCAATTAGTTTTGACATACAGAAAATTTTTTACAAAGATGAGATCCCAGTTGTTGATTCTTTGAAGTATTTCCCATGCATTTTTGGTTTTTGTTCATGAACTCTCTGCCTACACCGGTGTCTTTAAAATTTCTGCATACTTTCTCCTCCAGTAGACTTAGTGTTTCTGTTTTAATATTTAAATCTTTGCTCCAGGGCTAGTATATACACAGGATAGCCTGGATAATTTTACTACAGATTGCTGCTGTTCTATTGAAAGGAGGACTTCATGCTTAAATTTTTTCCCTCTTGGCTTTTTAATATTTTATACCTCTCTGACCGCTCTTACAGGCTTATATCTGATAATCTGAACAACTAATTTGGAGACCACAATGTGCAGTAATATAAAAACCATTGTTGAATTCCTATCATTTTGTTTAGTGAAATTCTGTATTGTTTGTAACCTTTCTTTATTTCTTTTTCTTTTTTATTTTCTGTTTTTATTTTTATTTTTATATTTTATATTTTGTATTCTCTTTAAAAATAAAGAAGTGAAAAAATGAAGAATACTTGAAAATGAGAACAAATGAGGCACTAGCCATACAGAACTGATTAAAAAAAGAAAAAGAAAGAAAAACTAGACACCTGGGCTGCCATATAGCTTCAGAAAAAGAGTCTGCTAAGGGGCCAGGAAACATTCTAAACAATGAGAATAGAATAGCAGATTTGAAGGCATACTCTCATAAAAGTTAGAAATCAACTCATAGCCTGTGACTGTGTTAATGCCTGTCATGAAGAAAGCCTTGACTGTCTAGACCCAGGTGTCCCCCCTTAGCAATGAGTGGCATCGAACTGATTGTGTCTCCCTTGTGTTTTAAAAATATGCAGTGATTCCAACTTGCTCCAAGAGCTTCCAGGCCTTCATGTTTGAGGGAAAACTGGCCCAGTCAAGGACACTTTCGATGCTCCCTGCCCCTCACACCCACTCCCTCCAGGAATGTTCCTGAACAAACCTGCATGACAACATATGATGTAATTCTTGTATTCCATGTAACCAATCACATGATAGCCTGCTATCATCTTTGTACTTCCTACCCACAAGTGATATTTAAACTGAACTGAAACCTGACTTTGGGCTGGTGATTTGAACCATTGAGTTTCCTAACCTGGTAGTGTAATTAAAGTTGGCTCAGATTCCTCAGTGCAGTCTTCCATTTGCTTTGATACTGGTTTTTCTGCTGTGAGAAGAGCTTCTTATTCAAGTCCTTGCCTGTTCCTTTTTTCAAAATATTTTCTTAGAAAAGGAATTGAAACCTGAAGATGAGATAGAGAGCATATAAACTAAGAGAAGGAACATCTACTTCTCCTGTTACTGGTTTATATTGTGGTATGAAGGAGGAGCATCAGAATCCTGTGCTTTCTGGGAAAGTATCACCACTAAGCTCTTCTAGTTCCAGCTCATACAATGCAGTCTAAGTGCCATTGTGCCATGCAGATTCTTTGTACTTAAGGTCTGGATGTCCCCAGCCCTGTCTGGATTTGTTCTGGGCATGGGGAAGCAACATAACCACTCTTGACTTACTGTACTTGCTGTAAGAAAGCCCTTTGTCTCTGACCCATGCTGTCTCTGTCTCTTACCAGCATCCACAACCACACAGTAGCATGTTAAACTGTGAGTAAAGACTCAAAACCTTCATGTTTCTTGACAGTCACCAGCAGAGTGGCAGGGAGGTGGGAGAAGCTGTGACAGAAGAAAAGGTACCAAATAATTGCTTGAACAACAAGAAAGTCAATCGGTTTATTAAGAAAAATTGAGCCTCCACTGAGGTTTTGTGGTCATGCACGTCAAGTGGAATGAGTCTGCCCAGTTGCATCTGCCTTCAGGTGAGGCTGTGGAGGAGGTCTCTGGTATTGATGGCCTGGCAGTGCCTGCTGTGCGGAGGGGACACTTACAAAACTCTTGTGGGGTTAAAGAAAAGAAAGGAGGGTCCAGGCAACAATCACTTCATTAGTGGCAGCAAATGCCACTGTCATCTGTGATTTGTCATGTCAACTGGTAAAAATTGATTTCTCTCTTTCTTTCCTTCTCCCTCCCTGCCTCCTTCCCTCTCTCTTCTACTGCCTTGGCATTTATTTCTTGATTTTTAAAAAACTGTATTTAGTACAGGGTCTCACTACACAGATCAGACTTGTAGTGATTCTTCTGTTTTCAGTTTCCCAAGCGCTGGAATTACAGGCGTGCATCACCACGCCCAGTCTCAGTCCCCATCTCAGCGCATCCTGGGACTGGGGCCAGCACAGCACGCTGGGGATTGAACCCCAGTCCCTGTGCCTGCCTACGCAGGCGCTTTACTTCTTGATATTTTAAGATGTTGCCAAGTTCAGAATACTTTCATACACTTTGTAAGCTCTACTTTCCCATGATGTGTCTGCAGAGTAGGCAGAAACTGGGGGACACAACAATAAAAGAACATGAGTTCGGAGACCTGAAAACCAAAAGCCCTATGCAAACTGAAGAGTCTGTGTTCCCTTCAACATTAAAGGGACTTCCTGTGGCACTTTGCCTCTTGCCTGCTTTACAGTAAGATCTCTGTAACTATGGGGTGACTGGGTGGGTAGAGGGATGGTTAGAATTTCAGTTTTTTATAATTACACATATTAAACCACCTGTGGTAGAGGGGGAGACTTTAAACTCCCAGAATTCCAGTCACTGGGATAAATCTTATTTTTAAAAAACTCAAGTTTAGTGGCTTCCCACGGTGGCAAATAGCTGCTGTCTTAATAACTAGAGTTGCAAGTGTATTATTTTAGGGCACGTACTGGAAGAGCTGTCCTCTTATTCTTTAGCAGCCTTCATAGTAGTAGGCCACTGGTAAGCCACCGGGCACTGAATATGCTCCAATGTTTTTAATACAAGAAAAAAAAAGTAGCTTTCACTAGAGCTTGCTATTCTTTCCTCCGTTGCGTCTGTCATCTCCCCTCTACAGTCACTCATGCACCAGTATTTACAACTAAACATTTTAGAAAAACAAAACACAGGTCATGGGTTGGGATATTTATTGGGCAGCCACGGTACACACCCAAAATTCAGAAGTACCCGCCACCTGCCTTGTCAGAGTGCCCCGGGTACAAAACCTGACAAGGAGCAGGAGGTCCGTGGCCCGGAAGCTCGCTGCCTGTTCCTCTGAGCCTCTGCTGAGGCCTACGGGGCAGAGCTATAGAGGTGTTTGCCATGTTGTCTGGGGATCTAACTTCCACGGGGTGGCCTGGCCACTGGGGGACCAAGTGACTGTCTCAGAACTCGGTTCCTTCTGAGGCCTTCTGTGGGAGGCGTGGCCTCCTCACTGTTCTCCTCTGAGCTGGAGCCCACAGGCGAGGCTGAGCGCCCACCCAGCATGCTGTCTTCACACAGCTTCTGCGCGCCCTGACACTCATGTCCATCCAGCGACTTCAGACTTTGGTTAAAGGAGGCGGAGGCGATGCACTCGGCCGCGGTCTGGTCACAGGCGCAGAGCAGCTTCTCACACAGGCTCTGCCCCACACCTTGAGGACAAGAGCAGAATGGTGGACATGAGGCCCACGAATCACGTGAGGCCTTCCCTGTCACCTGCCTGCCTGCCGCTCTGCCCGACAGCCCTGCCTCCCTTTCCTCCACCTAATGTCTGCCGCACCCTTTGCTGGGAAGAAACCCTCGGCCAGGAATAATGTTTTCTCCAGGAGGACTCACCACCCTCTGCCTAGATTCAGCTGGCCATCTTCTCCCTCAGAAAGCTTCCCTGAGCCCTAAACTAAAGGAGGCATCTTTCCTACATGCTCCCATTGAGCAACCCCTGACAAGTGGCTCCCCCTCTCGTTCACAGCGGGTTACACGTGAATCACATCATGCTGTAATTGTCTAGTTCAGTTTTGCTGGATGGAGAATTTTGAGGGTGACCTCACCTATCCAGGTCCCTAGCTTTATCCTCCCCTAATATTTCCCATGTTCTCACTGGGCAATACCTGTTGGCCTACAGCAGTACATCTTCAGACCAGCATTTCTCCATTTGTCAAACGGAATTTCTTGTCTCCTCTACCTTGGTATTACCAGATGAAATACAGGATGATCAATTAAATGTGAATTCCAGGTACTATGTCTGAAAGGATGTCCACTGAGAACAGACTTTTACTAAAAACTTATTACTTGTTTATCTGAAATTCAGACTTAGGCTTCCTATAGTTTTGTTCGCTAGCTCAGGTAACCGTGCCCTTTCTTTAAAGCATAGATCACATGCAGAGGAGGTGGTGTGTTGAAGAGGCTGGCAACGAATGTGCTTTCTGCAGATTCCTCTGTGTCTACAGCTTTCACTGAAGATAAAGGTCTGTGGTTTTTTTATCCAGTCTTAGTGGGAAGTGTTCAACATTTTTCCTGTTTCTGCCACATAGACTTTATATGCCCCCTAACCTGGCCTCCACGTGGACCCCAGATATGCTGGCTGCATTTTAGCAGCCAGAAACAGGAGGAAGAAAGGTGGGACACAGCTGAGGTTAGAGCAGAATGAGCCATACCGAGGCCTGGGCTCCAGAGGGACTGTCCTTCTCCCTGCACTTAAGATGGTGACACCCCAGCTGGCTGCTGAGGACCCTTTAGTTCCCATCATCCAGAGTTGGTACCTGCCCAAGACCCAGGACTGGACCTGCCCAAGACCCAGGACTTGGACCTGCCCAAGACCCAGGACTGGGTCTTGGACTCACAGGGGGCCTGGACTTGGGTGCTCCATGGAAGTGAACTGATCTGCAGACTTCCCCAAACCTGAGCTACTGGAGGAGCAGGGAAGGAGCCTCCAGCCCCTAGACATGGCCTGATTCAGACCCGTCATTCTAGACTTTTCTCCCAAATAGGAAAAATTATAAATGTCTTCATCTCATTCGTGGGTCTTTAGACCTTCTTATCTGATGTCTGCCTATTTCCCTTAACCTCACCCTGGGCCACAACCAGGCCTTCAACCTTACTTTCTGCCCCAGCAACACAGACCCAGTGTTGCTCCTGTATTGGGCATCTAGAATTCCCAAGGCATGGTGTTTCTCCTCTCCTTGGCTTGGACTTCCCCTCAGCACTCGTCAAACCTCAGCCCCTTGCTGACTCTTCCCATGTTGTCTGGCCCTCTGGAATACACCTGTCAGTGCACCCTTCCAGGGGCACAGCAGTGCTGACTGGCCCTCCCTCTGGGCTCTGGGTGATCCAAGGCAGGGGTCATTGGTGACGGTTTGTTGGGAAAATGGATAGCTGGACAGATGAGTGAGCGTGACGCAAGCACCGTGCTCCCAGGATGCAGTGGCCATAAGTGACACCACAAAGCAAGATGGCAGAGTGAGAGAGCAGAGGCAGGAGGTGGAGGACAAAGTGCCCAGCCAGTGGCTTCCCAGACAGATGTGAGGAGGAACAAGCCCTCTCAGGGCTCCTATGAGCTTCCAGGAGAAGCATCTTTTTATTGTTTTAAGGTCCAGAATACAAGGGAAATGCATCCGCTGTTTGAAGAAGGAAGTGCAGCCAAGTGTGGACAGCTCTAAAGCAAGCTCTCATGCACTTGCTACAGGGGAGGCAACTTTCAGACTGTCCCTGACAAAGGCCTTCAGTGCAACAGAAGACTTTGCTTTCCACTTCAGGGAGGAGTGGAGCTGAGGATTTAGCTCTCCCTGTAGCCAGAGTTGCCTCTCTTTTAATGGGGTTCCTTAGAAGTCCTTGCTTGGGAAAGGGTCTACTTCCCAGGAACAGACAGCGGGGAAGGTGCAGAGCCAGCTGGAGAGCTGATCACATTTCAGGATCCAGACCTCAGCCCTTCCCTCTCCTCTGCCTGTCACCTGGGGCCTCACTCATCCCTGTGCCTTGGGAAGAACATGAGTGCTGTCTGCCATGGGGCTGCAGGTTGCTCCAGGGGCTTGTAACCAGCGTGGTGACTTAAAGCAACTGGTTCAGGCTTTGGAACTGGAGCCAGAAGTTAGAGCTGGGTGAGTCTCAGTGCTGGAAAGAGTCAAGGTCATGTCACAGAAGAAGATGTGCTGGGAAGACACCCAGAAGCCAAGCTCTGGCCAGAGGCCCACTTGCAGGAGGAGACAACCGACTGCCCAGCCAACAGCACTTACACTTGGGTGTGCGGTCCACACACAGCACTGCAGACTGAGCGCGTCTCTCTGGCAGGCAGCCCAGCCTTCTCACCTGGTCCAGGCAGCAGTGATGAGACAGACAGCACCTGCAGCCAAGACAACCCTTTACTCCCCCAGAGCTTCTGGCTGACCCAGGCCTGCTTTTGTCCACAGTCCTTGGAGTAGCGGGCAAAACCAGCTCCTCCCACCCAGGGCACACAGGGCTGCCCATGCACAGCCCAGCCCCATTCTGGCTGGTTGGTTGCGTACTGCACAGAGACGCCATCTGGAAGGCAGCACCCGTCACATTGCATGCATCTGATTAGTTAAAGTTGTTTCTTGTATTCTCAGGATGATGCTGTTGATGGCAGTGTGGATGGTTTGCCTGCTTATTAAAGCAACAAATGGAGTCTTTAAGAAAGGGATATTTTCAGGAATGGAGTCCTTTAAATTGTTTTTCTTCATCTTACAGGAAGACTCCCCGTGGACTAGCAATGCTCCCAGCTACCTAGCTTTTCACGTATGGTTGATGTCACATCTGTGGCTTACCCTCCCCAAGGCCTCAGCCTACAGTGAACCACAGTCTCTATAAATAAAGAACTACAAATAAAGATGCAGCACAGGGCCTCAGTGAATGCGGGAAAGAATCACAACTTGCTTGTAGATGACCCTACCTGACCCAACCCAACCCATCATGTTCAAACTCCCCCAGCCAGAGTGAGCTTCGGGACAGTGGGATGCTTCCACTATTGGTGTTATAACTGCTCCCCCAGGCTTCTCTTTCCAACTCTTCCTTGTTCTTTAATTCTTCTCAACGCTCCCTGGAGACCTGCACCTTTGTTGTTCGGTACTGGAGAATGAACCCAGGGCCTTTCCAGGGAACTACATTCTCAGTCCTCTTAATGTTTTGTTTTGCCTTTCCTTTGTTTTGTTTTGTTTGTAATTTTGAGACAGGGTCTCCCTAAGCTGCCCAGGCTGGACTGGAACTTGCAGTCCTCCTGCCTCAGGCTCCCGGAGTGCATAGATTACAAATATGCGCTCCCACGTCCAGCCTCTTTTGCAGCCTTTAACAGGCCTTGTTTGTCTTCAGCCAGGTATCAGTGACACTAGCCCTGCTGCCAGTACCACCTACCTCACATGCTCACATAGCCCAGTGGCAAAGGTCAGGGCCTGGAGATTAGGCTGCAGCTATAACAGAGTAACAGGATCCTGTGTGGGCACTTGCCGGATGGGGTGGGGGGCATTTTGCATGACAGTTACATGCCAAAGTCAGTAAGTTAGAGATGATAGAGATTGTTTCAACAGTCCCTGACATGGCTCCTAAGGTACTGCATGCCTGCAGGTGGGAACATGCCCTGCGGGTCATGAGACCAGTGTGACTGACCCTGCCAGCCGGGTCCTCAGGCCGCTTTAGTGTACCTTCCTTGCCTGGCTGGTCACGTCTGCTATCTTGGCACTGTCAGCATAAAACTTGCTACTACAAAAGGTCTTTGAATTATTGTCTTTCAGCAGTGGGTCCAAAAGCCAAGGCTTTAATGCTGGACTTCTTCCCCAGCCCATTTTATTTTTCTATTTTTACTTTTTATTTTGAGACAACATCTCACTAAATTGACAGATTGCCTGGGATGGGTTTGAATTTGTCATCCTCCTGCCTCAGCCTCCCGGAGGGCTGTAATTACAGGCGTGTGGACCAGGCCTAGCTTTGATGCTTCTTTAGCTCCCCATTCCTGCCCCAGCAGCCCACACAGGTTGGATAAATGCTCAGTGTGACAGTGCACTTGGGGGAAGGCAGCTACGCAGTGTTGGGCAGTGGGTGCATGGTCCACTAATCCTGCCTCTGATATGCCTGGGTCTACAGCAGTCTGCATGCCCCATCTTCCCGCCATGCATTCTTTAATTGTAATTAGCTTTGTTTACCCCTTTTGTCAGCTTCCCCCATGAATGTTGATTTCACTATGAAAACTGTACCACTCCTAAAGGGCTCACTCCCTGCCTTTTTGGTGCCGGTCATTCCAGCCTTTAAAGCTGCCAACCATTTTCTGAAATCCCTCAAACTTGGCTGCAGAACCCCTGGTTTCCTCTGTTCCTTCTAGTGCATTTATTATACTGTGAAGTAGTTTTGTGAGATTGTCCACTTCTTTCACCATTCGAAGCTTCAGTGGGCCCCAGCATTCACTTGTTTGACTTTTCTGCACAGTCTTGTTCATCCAGGACCTAGCACAGTGCCTGGTACAGAGCAGAACCACAGAAAATCCAGGGTGAATGCATTTATGAATGAATAAGTTAATGAACATATGCAGCTGCTGAAAATTCCTCCAGGAGTGGTAGATACAAAATTTAGAAGCTTTACATACAAGTTGCTGAGAAGCTAATTTCCATGTGGCTTTCTGCAGCACAAACCAAAGGGAGATCAAATTCTGCATGTTGGTCAGTCTGAGGTGGTGTGAAGTATCTTGGTCCCCCAGCTCTCATAGAAGAGTAGCATTTGTGGTTTTGCTTTATGGTCCCCAGCCTCCCAAGTCATGAGCTCAGGAGCAGTAGGGCTTGACCCTGTCCTAGATGAATGACCTCGGATACATCAGAGTGAGCCTAAGATGCTCATCAGGAAAACGGGCCTGCATGCCATCAGGCCTCTGTGCAAGAGAAGGAATGCTCACAGCAAGTTCTCTGAGCCCAGAGCAAAGTCCAGCAGAGACGAGGGCTCTGCAGGTGCAGGCAGGATCAGCCCCACTCGCACACCTCCCTCCACACAGCTGTACCTGTCCAGGGTGTCCTTTGGCTCGCCTCTTCCTTCTCGCCCGCAGTAACAGCCATAAGCTTCAAACTGCTCTGGGCACGAGGACGTCAGGCAGAAGAGCATCTCTCCAAGCTGCGCCATCACCTGGGTGTCCTCCTCACTGCCCACGTGCAGAAAGGTGAATCTGTCACAGGCTGATCAGGGACAAGGACTCTCAGGGGAGGATGGAAGGTTAGGGCAGCACCCCAGGGCACACAAGGACATCTCTGGGTGGTACCAGAAACCTAAGTTTCCACATCTTGGATCGCCATTCTGCTGAGAAAACTGAACTCTTTAGGAGGCATTGTGTCTTAGAGAGAAAGCCTTTTCCTGCCCAACATTCAATTCTCCACAAGAGAATGAATTTCCGATGAAATTTCCCTAGAACATATGGTCTCACCAGGACCAGAGATGCTCTCCGGGCCACACTGTAATACTGGGCCCAGCCTTGCCTTATGGGGAGTCTTGTCCCCTTGGGATTTCAAGGGATATCAGATAGCACACTTTGTGGGCTGCATTTTAGAACCCTTGTTTTTCTCCATCTCTGCATCTTTGTATGCGAGTCTGGCTATCTGTTCTCCTCCTACTCTTCCTCCTCCACTGCAGCTGTCAAGGGCAGCTGTCTTGAGTTCTGTGCTGGATGCCAGAGTGGGCTTGCCCAGCCATCAGCAGAATCCTTCTCTGTGTACAGCTGCCTGTGCCCCTCATAGGAGAAGCAGGGCCTTTGGTCAGCATCCGAGGGAGAAGACATGGGGAAGGACTGCTAAAACTCAAATGTTTCCTTCTTTCCCCAAAACACAAGTGTGCATGGTGTTAAACTTCTTACCTCTAGGTCACTAGAGTACAGTGCTAAAAGCATCGGGTCAGGGGGCAGATCAGAGCTCCTGTCCCAGGTTTAGCCTCACAGCAGCCCTGGAGCTGCACACAAACCACATCCCCTTGAGCCTACTGTGCTCATCCAGTAAGGGGAGGATGCCTCTGGCTCCACCAATAAGAAGGTCACAACCGGATAAGGTGGCTGATGGTGCTTTGCACAGACCAAAGCATGTGATCCAGGGACAGAGAGGGCAGGACCTCCTCTGGTCTCTGACTTCCACTTACCTCTGCCAGTTGTTTCCCCAGGACTGCTTTCCATGGATGGCACTGCCAGCCCTGAAGACTTACTGCCAGTGGGGACAACAGTTACAGCCTTAGCCGTGGCAACAATCTCTGCAGAACCTGCAAATGCACACCTTGCTGGGTCAGATTCAAAAGGGACTGAAAAGAGATTTGCCAGTGGTCAAGGCCAAGTACAGACATATTGATCGGAACACAGAATCGGCAGGAGAGTAGTCCTCAAACTCGACTTGCAGACATCAAGGCAGCTTTCAGGGATCCAAGAAATCCTACTATTTATGGTTGTCTCAACATGCCAGGAGAAGTGGCCATTAACTGTGATGGTCAGCTTGACTGGATTAACAAAGTCTTAGGGGATTGGTAAAGCGCCTTTCTGGGTGTGTCTGCAAGGGGTTTTCCTAGATGAGCAGCACGGAGACTTACAAGCTGAGGAGTGAGACCCTCCCTGGTTGTGGGTGGCATTGACCAACAGCTTACAGCCCATGAAGAATGAAAGAAAGAAGAGAGACCTGGGGACAAGCATACACCCTTTCTGGTCACCTCCCTAGTGACCTACCTCCTCAACCACCTCCAAACAGCACATTCAACCATGAATTCAGAAGTGATGCAGTCCCTTTCCAAATGCCCACCTCTGAGCACATAAGACTTTCAGGACATTTTACCCAATCTGACTGGTTAGATAGACCATCACAGAAGTGTACACTAGACCACCTGGAAAGCAGCTCCAGAGTGGGAGGTACAGTGGCTGCCCAAGTCTGTGTTTGTGCCTTGTTTACCGTCATGCACCTGCCAAGTGACTACACCAGTGGCGCTGGAACCAATGGCTCCTGTGCCATAGTGGGTACACAGAGCCCTCTCTGTTGGCATGAGAGATTAGTATATAAGGTTTTTTTCCCCCAAACTAAAACCTCAGGATTCAGATTTAATTGCTATGTTGACACTTTGCAATAACTAAGTGGGCTTGGGGTTGTTGTTGGGGCGCTTGTCTTGAAAAGGCTCAAGGTCTCTCAACTATGCTCACAGCAAGGGAACAGGCAAAGCACATGGTAGAGACACTGGGTCATGTCACAGGACACAATTTTGTGGGCAAGGAGAACACTTCCTCCACCCTCTATTTCCTGATTAAGTGTTATAAAGCTTCTCAATCTATTCAGAATTCAATGCAGTTGTTTCCTGTGACCTGCATGACTGCTCCAGTTTTATCCTTCATCTAGTGGTTTCATTTCTACATATCTAATGTAAGGAATTAATCATAAGCAGGTGGGCTTCAATAAAGTGTATATCTACAATACACAATAACAAAATGCTGTGAAAGGCTATAGCAGGAGGCTCACAAGTAAGCCCTGAGGATCTTAGAGAAAATTACTCAGATCTTATCTCAAAATAAAAGAAAAAAATGGAAGGACTGGGAATTCAGCTCAGTGCGAAAGCCCCAGGTTCAGTGTTTGGTGCTGCAATAAAATAAATAGTAATACATACTTGGTTAAAGAAATTCTGTTTCCACATCATCACTATACAGCTACCACAACTCACATTGCATAAAAATATTTAATGTCAAGGGAAGAGCATTGCATTGTATTAATTATATAACTCAGACTGAAAATCATAGCCACCAAATGAACTCAAGTTCCTCCTATTTATGTTGCTAGATATGTTTTGGGAAGAGCAGGAGATGAGAAAAAATATCTTCAAATGTTGAACATGTCCATCTTTGTATTGAGGAGTTACAGTGAATTAAGTGGGAAACTACATACAGTTTCTACATTTTTTGAAATGCATCTCCTCGTAAGATAATTTGCATTTCTTTCTGTTAAAGGACCATTTGATTGCACTTGTGTACATTCTCATGCATGGGGATGTAAAGTAAATTGGCTTCAATGATTTCTTTGTTAAGCATTTAGCCCCAGGATTCCTTTGCAGTGTACTGATTCTATAGCTCTATCAGGCACAGTGACACACAGAAAACCAGGAAGAAGTAAAGATGATTACCTGGAGGGGTTGTGGCCCTAACAGTGTCCATTCCTTCCAGATCCTGTCTAGGTCCTAATAGAGGAGAAAGAAGAGAGACAGGGTAAGGGCCACCTCCAGCTTACAGTCTGTTGATGATATTCCGAGCAGAGGTGCAGGGGCCCATGAACTTCCTGCTGGCCTGAGCCACCTCCCACTATGACATTGCCTGAGATAGCTGATGATGCCAGGGTCTCTGCAGAGCAAAAGGAAGCCCTGACAAACAGGCTCACTGTCAGAGGAAGCAGACCAGTTTGCTGAACCATGCAGAGACTGTAGCTTCTCTGGAATTTGGGGAGAAAAAGGTAAAAGAAAGCAAGAGCGCACAGTCAGGAGGCAGCAGAGTTGGTGTGATTGACCTGGTTTACTCATGGCTAGGCAAATGTGGAGCCTCCATGTCTCTGTAAAGGGGGCTGGTCATGGTCATTAAGCTCCTACTGGGTGCCATAGAATCTGGCAACAAGGACTGTCTTGTATTAACTTACTTGATGAGAATCCCATGAGTCGGCAGTACTGTGCTTACCCTCCTTCTGAGGGGAGAAAGGTGACACATAGGAGAGTGGGGTCACTTGTTCAAGGTCACAGAGCTCGAAAGGAGGCAAGCCCAGACTGGCTGGCCGAAGGTGACACTCTGTAAAGCATGGCCCTAGTCTGCATTTTCACCGCTGGCTGGGCCCCACAAAGCAAGAGGTGGTGGCCACATGATTCTGAGCAAAGAGAAAAGCTGCCTCGATGCTTTGAATGGGTTCAGGAATCAAAAAGCAAAACCTAGCTAATGTAATCCTAGTATTCTGGGAAGCTAAGGCAGAAGAATCAAAAGTTCCAAACCAATTTGGGAAACTTGGTAACTTTTAATGAATAGAAAAGGGACCACAGAGGTAGCTCAATGAGAAGGCTCTGGGTTCAATTCCTAGTACTGCTCGAAAAAGAAGCAAAACCTGTGCACTCAGTACTAAGACTGCTAGGCTAAGCCACCCGGGCAAATGACACTGCCCCTTATCTGTAACATGGGTGTAAGGATGGGCTCTTGGGGCCAGCGAGAATGTATCCAGAGAAGGCACATGACTGGTGTGTTGGAAGCCATCAACATCAAAGGATCCATTCACTTATTCTGAGGAAGCTATTATCAGTTACTTATATTTTTAAAGAGGGATCTATGTTAAAACCACCTGAAGCAAAGTAAATGGTTGGGTTAATTCTGCTGATGAAACTTGACATAGATACTCTTTAGGAAGATTGTGTGTTTTATAATTCACTCTTGGGTCATGGGAAAAAGCACCACCCTCTCCTGAGGTCCCTTCTGCTTACTTGTCCTCGCGAGAGTGGTCGTCTTCTCAGCTCTGCTCTCAACAGCCACTGTGAAAAGAAACCGCCCAGCTTCGGTTATGCATCCAGCTGGGTGTCCAACTCAGGCCGAGGTCATCTGCCTGGGAAATAGGTCTGGGGGGTAAGGACCAGAAGGGAAATCCCGGAGAATCAGGGTCAGGGATCTGGCTGCTTGCTGGTGCTCAAGCTGGACCCACGTTGGTGCACAGTGGCCAGCCCAGGGACCGGCCCAAGTACAGGCAGAAAGAGCAGCAAGCAGCATCTTTGGGAGTGAAGTCAGGAAGGCTCTCTGGAAAAGCAATTGTCAAGTGAGTGTGGCCTAAAATGACAGAAGCACCAGTGTCTCTGTTCCAACCCTGCCCCTCAGCTATTTCAGAATGGAAATTGCTGCTGTCAGTCATGCTGGGTATTGTCACTGCGTGGGCTGGAAATGCAGTGGGTGCAGGTGATGTTTCCTTTTCTCTCTGGGCCTTGACCCCAAGGCAGGAGCTATGGGGGAGCTCATAGGGATAAGGTCCCCTGGGCCACTTGAGGGACAGCCAGGCAGAAGCCAGACCATGAGCTCTGCTTCTGTCCTCCTGTGCAGCAGCAGTGACAACAGAGGATGGAAGTATCAAACTCCAGGAAGCAAAGTGAAGAGGACGTCTCTCAGGGCTGGCTGGCCAGATCCAGTAAATAAAAATGCAGCGTGCCTCTCTCCACTGGGATTTCAGATGAGCATTTCAGTACTGCACAGTGTGTGTCCCATGTAACGTACTGGTACTATGGAAAGCATTTGCTGTTCATCTCAGTTCAGGTCCAGCTGAGTAGACCCCTTGCACACTGCCTGTGACTGCACGGGGTGGGAGCCAGAGTTTCAGAGAAGCTGAGGAAGTAGGGAGGAGACGTGGCAGGCATGATGAGCATCAGAAGGGGCTCCACGGTGCACTGGAGTCTGCTCCATACCAAAGCAGGGAGGGGGCTCTGGTGCCAACAAGTCAGGTGAGGGCACAAATGAGGGAGGGATGCCGGGTGGCAGCCTGCCCCCTTCCACTCACCTTCTCCTGAGTGCACGGTTAGGCTGGCCTCTGTGGGTTCTGCAGGAACCACTGGGAAAAGAGACCCACAAAGAGCAGTGACCAAAGCAGCAGGTGTCAAAGCCAAGCCTGGAGTCCCCAAGGAGAGCAGGATGGGACCCACTGGGCCAAGGGAGGACAGGGCTGGAAAGGTCCCACCAGGGAAAAGCTGGCCCTTCTGTCTGAGGATTCCCTCACTCTCTTATACCTCTGGGCCACGGGCCGCCATCGAGGCCATGATGCTGGAGAACCCCTAGTCACTGCCAGGTTTCAGCAAAGAAGAAAGACTGCCAGACATGGCTTGGGACAGTGCAGAGGCTGCAACCCAGAGGAGACCACAATCCAAAAACAGCCCTGTCCATGGGGAGACTGCAATCCAAAAGCAGCCCTGCAGTGGCCATCTGAAGATGCCCAGCAATGGTTGGCCCCTCACATGGCAGGGAAAGAGAGCACAGGACGCAGAGGCATGCAGAGAGGATGCACACATGTGCACACTCCTTACAGACACACTCACAGACCCTTGCAATGCACTCTTGTCTGCTCACACACCCATGCATGCACATGCACACTCCACATGTGTGCACACTCATACATGCATCTACACACCGACAAATGCATGCCTACACACACAGACACTCCCACACCAGCTTGCTCTTAAACACAGCACAATTAGTTCTGAGAGGGAGGGAGGGCCCTGCCTGGGGAGAGGAGAGTTGCTCTGCCGAAGAGTGCCTTGGACTTCCCAGCCCACAGCCCCTAGGGTGTTGGATTCTAGAGATTCTGGAGGCTCTGCTGAACCAGAAGTGGCAGGAGTGAACTGTATTCTGTTTTCTCCTAAGAGCCATTTTAAAAAAATGCATTTAGTATAGGGTCTACAGGCTTTTACTACCTAGATCGTATTTGTAGTGATTCTCCTGTTTTCAGCCTCCCAAGCACTGGGATTATAGGTACGCACCATTATGCCCAGTCTCAGTCACCATTTCAGCATGCCCTGGGGGCAGGGCCAGCATGGAACGCTGGGGATCGAACCCCAGCCGATGCGCTCTGCCTAAGCAGGCACTTTAGTTTGCTGAGCTATCTGGCAGGCCCCAAGAGCCACATTCTAAAGTGAGAATCATCCTCTGCTTAGTTCAATGAGCAGTTGCTAAGCCCACCCCATGCTGAAAAGACGCATGTGGAAACCATCCGCTACTCTCCCAGCCCTATCAGAGCTAGGCTGCCCTTTCTGCTGTGGGCTTTGGGAAGCATGTGGAGGAAGGGAGGATGGCAGGAAGGGTCTGCTCCTGGTAGGCCATCACAGCTAGGAGCTCATCCAGCATGACAAGGCCCTGTCCTCATCACATTGCATCTTAGGGCTCTGACTGTAGTGAGAAGGGGGAGAGAAGGAACTTGGGTGCACCTCATCTTTGGATTAAGTTTACACCTTGATCCAGGGCATGGCCATGTCCACCTGTGGAGGCTACCAGTGTCCAGTAGGGAGGGGCCCAGTCTACACTAGAACCACTGGAGATTAGGAGTTTTATGTATTGATATTATGGAATAATATTGATTGGGTCTCCTGGCAAGGGAAGCAGAGATGGGCTGGTGCCATAGCTAGCTCCAGCCTTGGCCAGGCAGACTTGGCAGAAGGCATGGTTCTACCTGCTCTCACCACCATTGGCCCTTGGGGACACTGTAGGAGCCCTGTCCCCTGGAAGCCTTACCTCCAGGCAGCAGTGTCACCCTCCCTTTTTGACTGGTTGTCTCTAAAAGGAAAACACATAGGAAGGTGTGTTGAGAGCATGGAGTTTGGGAGTACATGAAAGTGTGGAAGTTGCCATCTGCAGACGCCTGACAATGGTTGGCCCCTCACCAGCTCCTGCCCAGGTCATCTGTCCCTCATTGGGCACAAAGCCCATCCTTCCTACCTGGAGTCTGAGCCAGGCAGAGGGAGGGGTCCAAGAGATTCAGGGAGAAGTTGATGCTGGACTGAGCCAAGCACTGTATGGCAGCCTTGTCGCAGGTACACAGCAGGTGCTCACACGGGTCCGTGGATGCTGCAGGTGCAAAGACGAAGCAGGTGAGAAGATTCCCGTGAAACCCGAGACAACGTGTGTCCTTGATGACATGCTTCTCTGTCTCATCACAATAATGCCATTCCACCTCCTCAGCTGGGCTGGCTATCCTGGGCTACACCTCTGTCCACACTCACACCCAAGCTACCAGGCACACGATGGGCTCCACATACAACATACTGAGAGTCTGCCCATGTCTCCACCTCTGGGCTCCACCATCAGCTCCTACCCGATTGTGTCAGGATCCTCCTCTTTAGTTTCCCCCCTCCTTCCCTATCTCTGTTCTTATCCAAGAGCCAGAAGCATGTTTTCAAACTCAGGCCAAGGGATGAGACGTAGCTCTGTGGTAGAGTGCTTGCCTACTCTGCCCCAGTCTAGGGTTCAATTCCCCTTATAGCAACAAAACAAATAAATAAAAACTCAGATCAAAGCATGTGCTTATCCACTCAGAAGCCTCCCAGTGACTTTCCAGGGTTGCCTAGGAGATGACAGTTGGCTATTTTCCTCCCCCAGCTCCCAATCCCCTCCGTCTCCTTTTCCACCACTTGGTGTCCTTGCTGCTTCTCAAGCACGGTAGGCGCCCAGGGCCTCGGGCCCATCCATGTCCTCTACCTGCACCATCCTTCTCCCAGTCAACCCCAGAATGCCTCCTGCCTCCTCTGAGGTTTTAGCTCCGTGCTTAAAGAGGTTTTTCTTGCTCTTCTTGTTTAAAAGGAACCCCATCCTCTCCACCAGTTCCTTTGCCTGACTTAATTTCCTCTACAGCTCTAATAGGCTTGTCTTCGCTAAGTATTGGGCTAATGTGAGGATAGTCCAAAAGGTCAGAAGGCCTCCCACATAGAGAAGATGGTCCTGAGCTGGTGTAGATGCTCAACACACATCTGGCGAGTGGACGATGGCTTCTGTTTTTTTTTTTGTGCTTCCAGGGCACCTTTCCTGGTGGCTCACAGCTGGTCTCTTCTACCTTCTCTTGATGTTCTGTGCTTCAGCCCATCCTTGTAACCTGAACTTGGGGATCAGTTGGAACTGGGTTCAAATCTTGGTTCTATGACATAGCAGCTGAGTGACTTTGGGCAAGTTGCTCAATTGCTCTTAGCTTTCCTCTCCTTGTCTGAAAACTGTGGGTGATGTTCCCCTCTAATAGGGTGTCAGGAAGATCAGCTTGTTGTGTGTAGAGACCATGGGATGCAGTAGGCAGGGATTTGGGACAGCTCCCATCTCTTGTCCCCAAAGTTCATTCCTTCTCCCCTCTGTGCCTTTGCCTACTCTACATCTTCTTTTTGACTGGCTCAGCTTGCCCTGAGGGTGAGGCTGGCTCTGCATGTGTTGCCAGGGATTGAACCCCGGTCCCCTGTGCCTGCCTAAGCTTGCCTAAGCAGGCACTTTAGACTGCTGAGCTATCTCACTGGCCCCTCTACATCTTCTACCAGCATTTCCCAGACACATGAAACAAAACTCCTGGAGTCGCACAGCCATGAGAGTGGAGGGCTGAGATTTTAACCTGCACATGTCTGATTCTTATAATGGGCAGCCCCCACAAGAGTCACTCAGAACCACCACCTCTATGGATGTTGTCAAGGTCCTAATGTGTACTAAGAACTGCATTAAGCATTTTAAATCACCACTTAACTTAATTCCCAAAACATCTACCCAAAGCAGGCTGTCTCCTTCCCACCAGAGAAGTTAAGTAATTGCTCTACTGCTGCATAGCACCCATATAGCCAGCGTTCAGCCCTTCACAAATCTCAAAGTTGCTGCAAGTATAAAATCGTAAGCCAGATACTTTTCAAGGTACACATGAGCCAATGTGTACATGGAAAAATTTCAGCATTTTTGGTCATTAGAAAAATATAAATCAAATCAACACTGAAATTCTACCTTCCTCCAGAAAGAATGGCTATTCACCACAAACTCAAAGAACAGTAAGTTTGAGCAACTCTGCAGGGAGAAATGAATGCTTCTCATCACTGGCAGAAATGGCAGCTAGCACAGCCACTGTGGAAATCAGTAGGGAGAGTCCCCAAAACCTGAAAATAGAGACTCCATTTGGGTCAGCTATACCTCTGTTGGGTGCCCTTCCAAAAGAATGGAAAACATCATATAGAGGGACACATGTATACCCATGTTTAAGGCTCATATGTTTGTAAACAAATGAATAGACAAACAAAACAAGGTATTTTACAGAATGGGTTACTACTTAGCCATAAAAATAGATGTAGGAAAATGGATGCACTTTGAGACCATAATGCTAAGTGAAATAAATTTGACACCGTAGGTTCAACACTGTCTGGTTTCTCTTGTAAAGAAACCCAGTGTCTAAGTGATGTAAACAGTAAATGAAAGATAAATGGTAGGAACCAGGAAAGTAGTCTATGTGGAGATGGGTGGGGACCTGGGGAAACAGGAAGACAGGAGGGAGAAGAAGGGAAAGAGAAATGGAAAAGGTCAAGATGTGGTGTGTGCATGTACTGATTCCCTAGGATGAATGTATTTTTCTATGTATCGCAAACATGTACTAATAAAAAGGGAAAATTATAAGTCACATTTCCTGCTGACCAAGAGTTCCTTCAATTAAAAAGATTGATCGCACGTGTGGTGAAGGTGCCGCCCATCCTGGCTCATGAGCCTAGGAGCCAGCGTTGGTGTTGCCAGCGGAGATGACAGAGACTCAGGCCCGGACCCCTCAACTGGCTTTTCTTAGCCCAGCCCCCGTAAGGCCCACAGACACTCACTGCATGTGATCTTCTTGCTGACGCAGTCAACGTCTGCGCTGAGCTTGGCGGGGTCTTGGAGACAGTCCCTCTCGGCGGCCTCCTCATAGCACTTGCGGTGCTGGAAGCAGCAGCTGCGGTGGACAGGGAAGGGGAGAGCAGGGCTAGGGAGGGGAGGGCAGGCAGCTGGGAGCGTCCTGTCTCTGATGGTCTTTGGCAGTGGTCTCTTTCAAATTCTCTGCACGTGAACCACACAAATACACACACACACACACACACACACACACACACACACACACACGTGTACATGCACACACTTGCCATCTGCTACCTCATAAGCTCAGGTGACAGGTGTGTATTGCTCCTGACCGGCACTAGAATGTCTGTAATTACCAAGATGGCCCTAAGTCTCAGCCTCAGGGTGTAGTGCAAGGGTGGCTCAGGAGAAGGTGAGGAGGGGCTTGGGCTGGTTCTGCATTTGGGCAGTACACCTTGAGGTATTCCTTTGATCACCACTCTCTATTACTGTCCACATCCATTTGAGGACCTTCAGAATGCCACAAGCAGCAGCTGTCCTCCATCTCCCATCCTTCTGCCTGGCCTCACACAGCTTTTCACCCCATTCCTGTTTGCTGGTGATGACAGAGACAACACTCTTGCTTGCTGGGACTGACCAGCAAATACAAAGCCAAAGCTTTCTGGGAGTGTAAGCTAACACTTTAAAGAAAGATGCTAGGGCCAGCCAAATAGCTCAGCAGATTAAAGTGCCTGCAAGCAGGCTCAGGGGTCAGGGGTTCGATCCCCAAGGCCTGCTGTGCTGGCCCCACCCTCGGGGTGCACTGAGATGGCAACTGTGATTGGACATGGTAGTGCATGCCTGTAATCCCAGCTCTTGGGAGGCTGTAAACGGGTGAATCACTATAAGTCCGATCTAGTAGTGAGACCCTGAACACCCTATAGACCCTTCCCTAAAATACTAAAAATAAATAATAAATAAAATACTGACTTCTGAAATATCATGGTCAAAATTACATAACTTAGCAACTATACAATAAATGGAAAGAGGAGGATATAGTTGTCAATGAGCTTTGCTGGGACAGGTGACTTCCTTTTTAAAGCTTCAGCTGTTTCCCCTTGTGTCCATACTTGGTATTTGAGATTTGCTACCTATGGCAAGCAGATGGCAAAAGAGGAAACGGTAGGCGTTATATTCTGAAGGTATGGAAGCTGACTGCACATGAATTGGTCTAGACATTGTTCCTTCCCAGTCATGAACAGAACAATGTTTGCTCACTACAGCTCAGTGTCCTCACAGAGAACACGAAGGATAGCTCTAGGGTGAGAGTATGTGGTTTATTTGGACCCAGTAAGGGGAAGTGACTTCTATGAGGTCACATGGCAAGTTCGGGGTAAAGTCAGGGAACTGATTTGACAGATAACTGTTGTCCATCACAGGCCCAGAGCAAAGTATTTACCTACAATACTACTAGCCAACATAGGATGTTGAGCTGCTTAAGTAAAGAATAAAAATGTGAACAAGATAAAGGCAAGAACCAGGCGAGTCTTCACTCTCTGCAAACTTTGGTTGTAAATGGGAAATTTTGCTGGCTAAGGAGAGCATGGGAGGCGCTTGGGTTCCAGTTGGACTCATGAGCCTTTGACAGTGTTTTCAGAGCAGCTCAGGAGGAGGATGGTGGCTCAGTAGGCCATGGGTGGGCAGCCAGTGCCCCAGGCTCGGAGCCCCTGTTTCTGGGCCATGAAGGGAAGGGCTGTGACTCTGTGCTGCTCTTCCCCAACCTGGGATCTTGCATTGTTGGGAGGCACACTGCCTTCTACAAGCTACCAAGCCCTGCCATTTCTGGGACAGGAAGCCAGAGGACCCGAGTCATGGCTCCATGATTGATTACCTGGGATTTGTCTGGAGTAAGTTATTTGCCTATCTTCAAAATAATTTTACTTGTAATTGAGCCTTGAAGATACTCACCAATAGCACAAGGGGTGGTCAAATTTTATGGTTAATGTCAAAATTTTGAAATGTATTAAAAGAAATGACACTGCCATTAATCCTCACTCAAAATATTCGCCCTTACTTCTCATACACTGATCCCATTGTTCTTCCTACTTTCTGAGGTGGTTCTGGAAGTCTTCTCCTGTGAATGTCTTTATGAGAAGCAGTGAACACTACAGCAAATTCTGCTCCTGGATATGATTGAACTAAAAGGCAGACTGGTTAGAACCTTATGTGTGTCCTTATCCATTGCATTTTCTAGGTCTCGCACCAGGTGGCTTCCTGCTCTTATTCAAAGTCAAAATGACCTTGCAAAGTAAATAAAATATGGAGGCAGCTAGGACAGAACAACTAAAGAAATGAAAGGGGACTTCCAGAACTATTGTAGAACGTGGCAAGAATGGTGGGTTAAGTGCAATCAAACAAGGTAAAGTATTTGAGGGTGGTTAATGGGAATTAATAAAATGATTTTTACTATAATATATTTAAAAAAATTAAACTGTGCATCTTCTGGTCACTCCTTGCAGGTGATAATCTTGCACATTCTAGGGACTGTTCTAGGCACTCTATATTTAATGAACTTGCTGTGAATGGAGAGTCTCAGGTCCAAATCCAGGCCTAGGCAGGATCCTCATTCTGGGCTTGGAGAAGTTAAGATGAAGTAGAGGCGGGGCCTAAAGAGGATGATGGGAACCACAGGGCCTGAAGTTGGGCTGGCAAAGGAACTCCGAACACCAGACACCTCTGTTCAATAGGTAGGATGACAATGGTCATTATACACAGAGACACATGAGCTCTATCTCTTGCTTAAGGTCAAGATGGTCACAGAGCAAGCTGACAATAAACTGGGAGATCAGGTGGTTCTTTCAGTGGAGGCAGGACATGGATGGAAAACATCGCAGAAAGGAAAAACATGCATAAAAACACAATGACTTTGGATAAGCCGCTGAACTCTTCATATTACCTAAACTGCAAGAGTTCAAGAAAATGTCTATCTAGATCCTATGACCTGATAAGCACTCAATAAAGAGTTTCAGTTATTTTTGCAATCTCCTGTACAAGTTCAAGGTTGAAGAACCTGCTCTCTGGGAGTTTGAAAATCCATCTGCATGAATTAACTGTACAGAGTAATTAAAATTTGGTTCAGCCCACTATTCTGCCAATGTGGGCATTGGTGCTTTGATCTCTTCTTTTGGGTTGGAGCCAGGGATGAATTCCTGCTTTATTTGTTTGACTTCTGGTTGTAGGAGGCTGTTGTAACAAATAACAGACATAATGAGGGAGGGCCTGAAAGGGAAACATGCTGTCTAAGATGGCCCAAGTCCATGTCCCATGCAGGGTCATCCTGTTCACACTGAACATCAGCAACCACAAAAGTTGGGTTGCTTGCGGTTCCTAAAGTGGGAAACTGCTTTTTGGATAGATGGGCAACATGCACTCCTTCTTGCCATCCCAGAGGAGGGACAGATTTGTTATTGAATTCTAAAGCCATTATCATCTGTCAAGCATATAGAATGTTTTAATTAATTGATTTAGTTGTTTTTCATCTGTGAAGGATGACTGGAGATTGTCCACCTAGTCAGTCAGTTGACTTCCTGAGGTGTTCCTTTGTGTCAGACCCTGTAGTCAGTGCTTGGAGTACAAAGAAAGTGCAGTGAGACCCTCTCAGAGGATGCCAAGCAAAGTGGAAGATGGGTGCTCTGCATGCATTCTTCTCTGTGAAATGTGGGCAAGGAAAAGAAGTCCCAGATGTGTGGGGAGCACAGAGGCTTCCCTGATACTTATCAGTCAAAGCATCAGCAGAAGGTGTGTCCTCAAGGAGCAATGCCAGGACAACCATGGGCTGTCCAGCGCATTACCAAGGGGACCCTTCCCCTCCCCTCTGTGAGCCCATTTAGGTGAAAGTGCCGAATCTGGCTCCAGGTAGCATCAGCAGAGTGGGATGTGTAGACCAGGTGCTACTATTTAAATCTGAAGTGTTTCCCTAGACTCATTATTGAGGGCTTGCTCCCAGGGTAGTGACGCTCAGAGGTAGGGCCTAGAGAGGTGATTGGATGATGATGGTGTGGGCGTCATCAATGGATTCATACATTAATGGGTCATAGTAGAGTGGGCTCCTAGGAGGTAGGGCCTGGTAGGAGGAAGCAGGTCTTGGGCATATGGCCTTGAGTCCTGTATCTGGTCCATGGCTCCTTCTTCTCTAGCTCCTCTCTAGCTCTCTGTTTCCTGGGTGGCAGGAGTTGAGGAATCTTCTTTCTGCATACCCTTCTGCCATATTTCTTTCTTAGAGCCTGAAAACCATGAACTGAAACCATGATTCCATATAAACTTCTCCTCCTTTAGGTTGATTTCCTTGAGTGTTTTATCGCTCTAATGGACATCTGACTAACACACCAGGGTTCAGCGTCTCATCTCCATGCTATGCTGTCCTTGATGCTGTCGTTCCTATGGCTTCAGCCACTGTTTTCCTTACTGATCCTTCAGTAGAACACTACTGCTGCGGGTGCAGCTGCTGGCATTCCTCCTCCTGTTCATATTCATACGACGGCAGCTACTCCTCTGCTGTGGCAGCCACTGCTGTCACTGCGGCTGTGACAACTTTGCTGCTGCCGCTGCTGCCAGTCCCTGGTGCTCACAGCCAGGCAGAACCTCAGTCACTCTAATTTGAATTTAGTCACTTAAGCCTGAACAATAACACTTCAAAATAGGTCTTATAATTGTTTCCTATTTAAACGTAAAGGAAGGGGACACAAACAAGTGGTTCCATGTTGCCCAAGAGCATGAAGCCAACAGTGAGCAGAGAACCAGCACTATTTGGCCCTACTTACTGTGCAGTAAGCTTATAACAGCACCGTGTTCCCCGGTGGGCGAGCAGCCCAGTTGCCCTCCTCCTGTCCCTACCTTATGGCCTTTTCTCAGCTAACATCGGTGTCTTTACATTCCAGACTTTATTGCCAATCTTGGAGGTCTATTTGAATTTGCACTGATTTGAATGTAGGGACAGGATCCATATTTATTGCCTAAGTATTTTTAAAAATTGTATTACCCAATAGACTTTCTCTCTTTAAAGCACAAGTAAAATTCTGTAAAGCATAGCACTCTTTTTTTTTTTTTTTCCAGAACCGGGGATCAAACTCAGGCCCTTGCACTTGCCAAGGAAGCGCTTATTTCACTGAGCCATCTCCCTGGCCCCAGCACTCATTTTTTTTTGTTTGTGGTTTATATTTGTTGAAAAATGAATACCAGCTTAACTCTGGTATTCAGGGGTTTCAAATAAAAAATAATTTTTAAGTTTTGTTATGAAGAAAATTACAATTTTTTCTGGTGAGCTTGTTTAAAACTCATATTTCTAGGTTTTACCTGACAATATGCTAAGTCAAGTGGTCTGGGATGACTTTCAGGAATCCACATTTTAATGGCTTGCCAGGTGGTCATGACGCAGATGGACCCAACTTCTGGGAAACGCTGGCGTGCAACTTTGCATATTGGTCCTGAGCTGGCTCAGGGGTAGCTGCTAAATAGATGCAGACCATGGACTTTACCACAAGGGGAAGAGAAGAAACCAGTCACCTGCTGGTTGGTAATGGAATAAAGACCTCTTCTGAGCACCTAGGCTGGGGCACCTTCTACAGCTGAGTTTTGTCCAAGGTACCACCAGGGACCCCGGAGCACACCTGTGGATCCTGCTCACCTGTCAGATTCATCCATCGGCTGCCCTTCCATTTCAAACCTGCAGGCACAGCCATAGTCCTCTAAGTCCCGGGGGCAAAGACCAGCCACACACTGCATGCCGTTCACAAATTGGAGCAGCAGAGGGAAGTTGGTGAAGACAGCCTGCAGCCAGCTGAAGTGGGGTCCCAGGCAGTCTGGAGGGGAGACAGGCAATGCCAGATAAGCATGGGGAGCCAGCATCTGGGGTGGACCCCACCCCGTGCACTTCCCACATTTAGAACTGATGGGGCATCTCAGTATAGCAAGCACCTACTGAGTACTTGGTGCTATCCTAGAAAATAGATGGGAAGAAGGCTTATAACCCATGGTGCTTACTGCTTGCCCACCTAAGAACTGTTTATTTTTCCTTTCTTGGTAAGAAAAACTGGAAAGTTCTCAGGACTGGTACATCTCTCCATTTGCCCCATGATGAATCTCAGCTGGTCACCATAATCCCATGATTCCATGCCAATGGTTGGTCTAGGGCTGAACATGTGACCAGATCTAGCCCAAAATAAACAGATAGATAGACACGCAGACAGAGAGACAGCTGTCTGTTAGAGAACTTGGCCAAATATTTGTTGTCCAACAAAGAATACAGACATATAAGAAAGATCCTTTCTCAAATATAAATACCTGTATTGTGACTGGAACTACAACAACCACATTATAGCCATGACTCAAAGCACCAAGTTAAAGGGTTTAACAATTAAATATGCTCCAGGTGGCAGTGGAGGAAGAGTGAGCCTTCTCAGTGTCTGACGTTTGCACTATTTCATCCATCCAGGTATCTTCAGACTACTTATGTGAGGGCATGAAGTATCTTTATGGTTTGAGGCACTACTAGTTGGCCAAGTGACACAGTGCTGGCACCATAAAAACCATAGACCAGTAGAGAAAGAAGACAATATAAGCATACAATTTTGAGCATTTGCTGTGTGCCAGAAACTGCACTAGATGGTTTCAATAGTGCAAGAGTTAAGACTAATAGAGAATATTACACATTAGAAAGCATTTCTATTGTCTGTTGTACCATAGACTTCCTATTAGCCCTGCCCAGTAGACAGAAATATGGTTCTCCACTTCACAGGCAAAGACACTGAGGGCTGGAGACAGGTACATGGGAGCAAACACGGAGAGCAATTTTCCTTAAAATTGGCAAGACAATTATCCTGTTTCTGATTCTAAAGCTCATGCCCATGCTCTCCGTTCTCTACCTTTGTGATCAGACACTACTACATGAAGTTAGTCCATCCTATTGATAGTGAACAGAGTTGAAAGAGGGATCCTGGGGCGATGAAGGGACAGACCACGGGGACCAGGTCTATTTGACTGTTCTAATCTCTTCCCACCTCATTCAACTTCTTCCCACATTTCATTACCGCAAGGCCTTGGCAGAAAAATGAAAAATTAAATCTATGCTGATAAACAAAGCCTCTTCAAAGTTTGCACGTGCATTTTTTTTTTT